TATAAAAACTAGAGGCCCGGTGCCCGAATTCGTGCACCAGTGGGGTTCCTCGGCCTGGCCTGCAGGATGGGGCCAAAACCAGCTCTCCGACATCCCCCAAGGTGTTCCAGATTGCGAGAGGGTGCAGGCCAGGCTGAGGGACCCCACCAGAGCAACAATCAGGGCCCGGGAAGGACACAGGAGGTTAGCCAGCTAGGGAGGGACCATAGGAGGGTTCCAGGGTGTGTCTGGCCCATCTTGCTCAGTCCAGATCAGCTGGACCCCAGCAGCAAGCTAACCTACAGGTTGGAGCATCTGCCCCCTGGTGGTCAGTGCACATCATAGCGACTGGTTGACCAATCGACTGTCTGTCCCCTGGTGGTCAGTGTACATCATAGCAAGCGGTTAAGCAATCTTAGCATATCATTAGCATATTACACTTTGATTGGTTGAATGGTCGATCAGATGACCGGACACTTAGCATATTAAGTTTTTATTATATAGGATTACCTAAAAGTCTGAGTTGCATTTGGCATTTGAATGACAGGTCTCCATTTCACAGAGGTCACATACAGCAGAAATATTTTTATTCATTCCTATTATAAATGCTGTTTCTTCATGTTAATTATCTACATCAGCAATTTTCTACCTTTTTCAGTCTCATGGCACACATAAACTAATTACTAAAATTCTGCGGCACACCAAAAAATATATTTTTGCCAATCTGACAAAAGCAATAGGTATAATTTTGATTCATTCACATCAGATGGCTATTGTTGTGTTGGCTGCTGTCATTTTTTATTTGGCAAACTAAAAGAAAAGAGGTCAGTGGCCCTGACTAAACAGTTGGGCATTGCATATTTTAAAAATTCTTGTGGCACACCAGTGTGCTGCAGCACACCAGTTGAAATCGCTGCTCTACATTAATATCACACTGAAAGAGTTGTAAGATTCACTCATTCTTGACTGTGTTGGGATCCTGCTTCCCACAGAAGCTATGCCTCATTCCTAGAGGTCCTTAATAATGTTATGACAGTTTTAAACATGGCTCCAAGTTCTTTTTTAAAAAAATTTAAATTCTTTATTGTTTAAAGTATTACATAAGTCTCCTTTTCCTCCCATTGACCTCTCCCCAGTTGCCCCCGCCCCACCCCTAATCTGTGTCCATTTGGCTATGTTCATATGCATGCATATAAGTCCTTTGGTTGACCTCTTAACCCATTACCCCCGCCTTCCCTCATAGGTTGGACAATCTAATCAATGCTTCTATGACTCTGGTTCTATTTTTGTTCATCAGTTTATGCTGTTCGTTATATTCCACAAATGAGTGAGGTCATGTGATATTTATCTTTCTCTGACTGGCTTATTTCACTTAGCATAATGCTCTCCAGTTCCATCCATGCTGTTGCAAATGGTAAGAATTCCTTCTTTTTTATAGCAGCATAGTATTCCATTGTGTAGATGTACCACAGTTTTCTAATCCACTCATCTGCTGATGGGCACTTAGGCTGTTTCCAAATCTTAGCTATTGTAAATTGTGCTGCTATGAACATAGGGGTGCATATATTCTTTCTGATTGGTATTTCTGTTTTCTTGGCTCCAAATTCTTTGATGCTCCAATGTCTCCTGCTCTTTCAATCTGGGTGAGCCCGTGAATAATTCTAGACATGGAATATGGTGAAAGTGACCCTACGTGAGTTCTGAGGTTAGGTCATAGAAGGCCATGCAGCTTCTTCTCCTGGAATGGTCACCTTCAGGGAGCACTGAGTCTCAAAACCCAGTCATTATGCTGTAAGACAGCCAAGCCAACAGAAATAATAAGAATGGCTGCTGTTTCAGTCCACTGTTTGGGGGGTTGTTTGTAAGTAATAAGCAATTAGAACTGATAATATCTTTATTTTTTCTATTATTCAGACCAAAAATTCTAATGTCTTTGATTCCCTTCTTTCTCTCACATTCCATATCCAATCCCTCAACAAATTCTGTCAGCACCCCCTTCAAAATATGTCCAAAATCTGAACAACTCTCATCTATAAAATGAATCTCTTCTAAAGTTCTTAGTCGAAAACAACAGAAACTAACCCCTGCTAACTTTTGCAGACAAATTTCATGAAAGGAAAGCAGATGGCTCACAGCACAGACCATAAAAGGATGAGAATCACACCCAGAAAATAGTCAGAAATCAACAAAGATTAAGCATGAAGAATCACAACTGCCGGGAGCCGGTCCATGCTTGCTGTTTCAAGGGACCTGGCATATATGGCATACTGTTCTTAATATGTTTGCTCACCTTCTTGGCACTATGTGTTTTAACCAAGGTCTCTGAGAAAGGTTGTTTCCCCAGGTAGGGATTTTCCCCTGAAGTTAGGGAGGGAATAAAACCTCTTAAACTAATGCCAGGTGGGTAATTAATCACTTTAACTACGAACAATCGTGCTTAAGCTACATAATCTTTACTCCCTGGAATGAAGATAAGAAACTCCCTAACCTTTGTAATAGAGATTGATAGGATTGAATCAACTGGTATAAATACAGATGCAACAAGACAGCAAGAGCCAGAACTCAGAACACAGAATGAAGAAGACAGAACTCAGAAGAAGGAACCTACACAGACAGAAGAACTTCGCTGGAGAGAACATGGCAAAAGATCCTGCACTGAACCTGACTACAGAAATTGGCAAGAGAACCTGACTAGAACCTGGTGACTGAACCTGGCTGGAGAACCTGGACAGAACCTGGCTGGAGAATCTAGCAAGGGAACATGGCTACAGAACCTGGCTGGAGATCCGATGCAGAACCTCTCTGGAGATCCAGACCAGAACTTGGCTGGAGATCCTGGCTAGAGATCCTGGCTAGGCTGCTGATCAACTGAACTCCGTCTCCGTGTCATTCCTTCTTCACCGACTCCGTCCACACCTTTGGGGACCCCTGGACCCGCTGGGGCTGGACCCCGGCATATGGCGCCCGAACAGGGACCCCTTAGGTAAGCCCCCCCACACTCAGGACGGATAGGACTCCACCGCAGGAAGAGGGTGGATAGTCTTCGCCGACTCTGTCCACACCTTTGGGAACCCCTGGAACAGGATTCCCTTAGGTAAGCCCCCCCCTTGAGAACCCCACACTCGGGACGGATAGGACTCCACCAGGGTACTGCAGACCCCCCTATAAAGGATAAGTAGGATAAGAAGGTGGATAGTACAGAACTTAGATTGAGAAGATGTACCATACTGAGTCCAAAGAAAGAAGACTCTGTATTGATTCTTAGATTGAGAAGATGTGCCATACTGAGTCCAAAGAAAGAAGACTCTGTATTGATCTTTAGATTAAGAAGATGTGCCATACTGAGTCTAAAGAAATAAGACTCTGTATTGATCTTTTAACACATATGCTTGCTAGCAGAGGAATTAAGGTTACTCCCAGTCACATGGAACATTTTATACAAGAAATACGTCCATGCTTTTCTGAGGAAGGAAAGGTGCCCGAAAGGTAAATGTAGAGGCATGGGAGAAGGTAGGCCCAAGGAGCCTTATCCTTAACCCCACTGCAGCCTTTCCACCCCGGGAAAGTGCAGGATTGGCAAGCTCTCCCTGGGGTGATAGATCAGGACTCAGGTAATAGCGGAAAGCGCCAATCCTACTCTTAAAATGGATATAAGAGAGCATTTGAGGTTTTTCTTTTTAATGCATGCCTTTAAAAAATAAAAAAGGGGGAATTTGCCGGGAGCCGGTCCATGCTTGCTGTTTCAAGGGACCTGGCATATATGGCATACTGTTCTTAATATGTTTGCTCACCTTCTTGGCACTATGTGTTTTAACCAAGGTCTCTGAGAAAGGTTGTTTCCCCAGGTAGGGATTTTCCCCTGAAGTTAGGGAGGGAATAAAACCTCTTAAACTAATGCCAGGTGGGTAATTAATCACTTTAACTACGAACAATCGTGCTTAAGCTACATAATCTTTACTCCCTGGAATGAAGATAAGAAACTCCCTAACCTTTGTAATAGAGATTGATAGGATTGAATCAACTGGTATAAATACAGATGCAACAAGACAGCAAGAGCCAGAACTCAGAACACAGAATGAAGAAGACAGAACTCAGAAGAAGGAACCTACACAGACAGAAGAACTTCGCTGGAGAGAACATGGCAAAAGATCCTGCACTGAACCTGACTACAGAAATTGGCAAGAGAACCTGACTAGAACCTGGTGACTGAACCTGGCTGGAGAACCTGGACAGAACCTGGCTGGAGAATCTAGCAAGGGAACATGGCTACAGAACCTGGCTGGAGATCCGATGCAGAACCTCTCTGGAGATCCAGACCAGAACTTGGCTGGAGATCCTGGCTAGAGATCCTGGCTAGGCTGCTGATCAACTGAACTCCGTCTCCGTGTCATTCCTTCTTCACCGACTCCGTCCACACCTTTGGGGACCCCTGGACCCGCTGGGGCTGGACCCCGGCACACAACCAAAGATCCAGCCTGCTGATGAACTGCCACAGCTAGACACAGAATGCACCACCTTCACCAGCTTGAATTCTAGGCTGCCCCCACTCTTTTGTTCTTTGGTGTCTTACCCCGGGTGGCGGGGGGGGGGGGGGGGGGTGCATATCTCATTGGCTGAGCTTACTTGATGTTCCTGATTCCCAACTGCCAGGGAATGGAAAGACAAAGAGTTTGAGCTTTTTGGCTTTCACGGTAATAAGTGGAGACCCATATCCAATAAAAACTTATTTCACAGAGCATTCTCCAAACACAGAAACTGGGCACGAATTCTGAGCAGCCAAGTAAAAGTAAATGACTCTGATAAGGGTTGGGTGAAGAAAAGATGCATTTTATATGATAAACAACAGGTTCTCAATATATGTTAATATAATGGAAAGATAACTAGACTCTGAATTAAAACCTTAGATTCAAGTCCTGTTCTACCACTTACTGGATGTGCAACCTGAGCAAATCACTTAACTTCCCTGAGATTCCATTTTTTTGCACTGTTAAAATGGGAACAATAATATCTGTCCTGCTTACCTTACAGGTTGTTTTCAGGGTGAAATGAGAATATTAAAATTAGTATCTTCATGTCCTTCATATTGTAAACACTGTTGCCTCACTGAGAGTCAGCATAGGTGTCCCATAAGTTCTGCAGAGTGAGTAAAAGTTATAGAAATAATTTGTAAAACGAAAGCCATTAATTACCTGATCTTACTAAGCACTCCACTTAGGCCAGAAAAGTGTGATACTGTCACCCAGAGCCAGCCTTAAGTAATATCAAATTATGCTTTGAGAGGCGATCCTTGACACTGATAATATTTGCCACTGACCTCTTCATAAAATATATATGGAGTGGCAGAGCAACTTATTGCTTCAATATTTAGTATAAGTGTAGCTCATAGAGCAAATTCCTTCTGTGACAAGTTTTAAGGACTTGACAATAGCTCTTGAGAATCATTCTAGCATGGGGAAATAATGGAGCTTATTGCCTAGATTTTTGGTCAATCAATTCAAGTTACCCTGAAAAAACAAGAACTATTTAATTATAGGACAACTAAGAATAACAACCCCTAACCAAATCCTTTGGAGATAGACAGCGGAGAATCAAGAACTTTTCAAATATTTTGAAAGTTAGTGGTAAAAATCATAACCCCCAATAGGATCTGCACAGCTCCCTATGATCAAATACAATAATAATTCTACAGAGGTACATGTGAACGTTAATTCTAACTGGAGTAAAGACTGAAATAGTGTCCTATCAGTTCAATTAAGGTTATTTCAACATGAGATTAAAAAAAATGTTGGTCTTCAGGCTTTTTTGGATTTTACAAATGCACACAAGAAACAAAGTTGTATTTTTAAAAAGTAAAGGAATAGTGTTATAGTGCTTTGAGATAAAAAATGCTCTACTGTGCACATTTAACGTTCTCACAAGCTGGAATATTAATGTGTCTCTTAAACTCATCTATATAAATTCACTTTCATAGCATTATTTTTCAAATATGCAATTCAGAGAATTATAAAATTCAACCAGAGAGATCATCTATCTCAGCCGGTTGCCTCATTCAGCTGATCCCTACTACTAGCATCCTAGCCAGACAGTTACTCAACCTCTGCAGGGTATTTCTCTGGGTGAAAATTCACTCCTTCATACGGCAACTTGCTGTACTCTTGGACAACCTTAATTATTAGAATCAAAGTCAGCTCCTCTGTCACTTTTATCCTTTGGTCCTAACTCTGCCCTGGGGAGCAGGAAACACTAACCCCTCTGCCACGTGACAGCTAGGCAAATATTTAAAGTGGCAATCATGTACTGTATTATTTGCCTCTTCTCTAGGCTAAACATTTGCTCTAACTCTTCCACATAAACCATGGTTTCCTCTTCCTTCACATCCTGAGGGCCTATGCTAATCTCTAACTTATCAATGTTTATATTAAAATAAGGTAACTGGAGCCAGATAAATCTCCAGCCCAGAACACTGGGAACCTGTTACCTATCTTGCAAGCTATATACCATATTTCTATTGATGCAGCATAAAATTACATTAGCTTTTTTATACAGAATAATATTTTTGAGCCATTTTGCATGTATGTAAGATTTATATCCCCATCTTTTCACATGCATTATTGTCACAATCCAGAAACCTCCCTTGATTTATATTTTTTTAGCCTCAATAAAGGGCTTTTGTATTGGTCTTTGTTAAATTATATCATGTTGGTTTTCATTCCAACATTCATGTTTCATTTTGAATCTTGATTTCACCTTTCAATATATTAGCTATGGCTACTTGCTCTGTGTCACCTACAAATTTGATGAGCAATCTTTCTAACCTTCAGTGAAAACTTTAATAAAAAAAAAATATTGAACGTGGTAGGATAAAGAGCCCTATGGCATGTCATTAGAGACTTCCCTCCAGGATGGCATCAGAACTATCTAAAGCAGCCAGTGAACCGCATACACAAATAACAATGCCAAGCATTAGATGGCATGTGCTAAATGAGCAGCAAAAAAAACAAACACTATACAGAGGAAAAAGTAATCCAGAACCAGCAGACAAGGCTCTCTACTTTAGCAATTAATTTCAAATACAAGTTTGGTTACAACAGGGCACTTTTAAAAGGTGTCTTTCCTTCCTGAAATGTGTATATACTGTATATGTACTAGGGTTGCAACATAAAATCCATTTCCTACTATGGGTCTCACCTAGAAATTTTTCATACTGGTATATTAAAGGATGAGTGGGATTTGAAATGGTATAGAGAAGGGGAGAATAAGCCAAGCAAAAAAAATCTTACCACGCTTTGGATCAATAAACTCCTATAAATGTGACTCCTCCCACTGCTCGTTTCATTCCCCTCCACCCCACTCCAACCTCTACTATTGTAAGCAACCCCAACATGCAGAAATCAATCTTTTAAGTATATATCTTTGTAATGATTCTTTGGTTTTCCAAGAGATTATCCACTTTTAAAATAGGTCCTAAAGAAGGCTCATTTACAAGGCAAGTGACCCTGGTTTAATACACAATCATTTGATTGACACCCATTTTTCAGAATACCAAGAATACAAAATATGAAGGGTTTCTGCGATTTACTTATATTGTGAAACAAACCTAATGTTAAACATGACCCTTGAAACTGTCCCCACATCTTTCCAGTCAGAACACTTTGATGATATAGTAAATATCGTTACGGTTCCACTTTGAAGAAACAAGGTTTAAATAGGGCTTTGCCCCATCAAGTAAATTTTTTTACTTAAAACTTAAAATCCTCTTCAAAAGAAAAAAAAATGTGCAGTAAATACTCAGAAATGACATGACTCTGACACAATTCTGGTCTCACTGATCACTTTAAATCATGACAGGTTCTGGTCTCTCATTCTTTGCCCTCTGTTCCTTTCTTGGTCTGAAAATTAATTACAGCTAGGACCCACAAACTCAGAACATAATTTAAAACTTCAAGCAACAAACCCATCCACTAAATCAGATCACTCAGAATTCAAACGTTTTTTTAAATTCATTTTTAAAAAAGAATCCCAAAACCTTTTTGGAATATGAAGTTAATCATTATAAAAGTATCCTATCAGAAACAGCTTTTAAGGCTATAAACCCCATAACAACTTGGATTCAGTTTTAGGATATCTAAAAAGGAGCCCTCAGGAAATTAACCCAATAATCATAAAGACCCCATTTTGATAAAAGGGGAGCATGTGTGGAAAGGACTTTGGAGAGCAGCTGCATGAGGAGGGCACTAGACAACAGGATTGCCCGCTCCACCTCCAGATCCAGATCTTGTTTCCACCACACCCTTGACCTTGAGATTACAGGTGATGGACTACCAGGGGTGGGCAAACTTTTTGACTCGAGGGCCACAATGGGTTCTTAAACTGGACCGGAGGGCCGGAACAAAAGCATGGATGGAGTGTTTATGTGAACTAATATAAATTCAAGGTAAACATCATTACATAAAAGGGTACAGTCTTTTTTTTGTGTTTGTTTTATTCATTTCAAATGGGCCGGATCCGGCCCCGCGGGCCATAGTTTGCCCACGGCTGGGACTAGACACAGCACTCCCTAAATCAGTAATTTCTAACTTCCCCTAACTAACTTCCAACCTTACCCAAAAGATAAGAATAGGGAAGAAATAAGGGGAAACTTAGCCCATTACTTTGAGATGAGGGCTAAATAATTCTTTGCTTTCTTTTTTCCCTTCTTCATACAAAAAAAAAAAAAAAAAAAAAAAGAACAGTCATCCTCACTCCACTAATATGTAAGATTCTTAAGAGGAGGGACCATATCTAATCTGTTCATTGTTCTACCCCCAGCACCTAGGTAGTAACATATTTCAGGGTGCTTTTTGTTTGTTTTCTGTTTTTTTGTTGCCCACTATCCAAACTTCTTTCAAATGATCCCCTAAAGTGTGCAGTAGAATCAGTGCCCCTCCTTCTCACCCTTGGATAGCTAGGATCCTGGTATATGCCCTATGAGAGGGCATCCCCCTCCCCCACTGGCTCTTGCAGAGACAACATAAAAACACAGGGATAGCCTATCTCTCTTGGCAGTAGCAACAGACAACAGTGACCACAGAGGCTTCCTAACCAATCTATTGCATAGTGTGACCTTGACTTTGCTGCTGTTCCCATTGTCCCTTGATTTCTGCTTGCTTTCCAAGCTTGACTCTCTTGTATTCCTATTGCCTCTGTGAGCTACATGGTTCCTTCCATGGAAGTTCTTTTCTACCTAAATTAAAGACAATTTCTCTTACTTGGAAACCAAAACTGAAAGAGGCACCTAGGATGTTTTCAAATTATATTTCTTAAGTGAAGAAATAAATTAATGAGTCAATGAACCATCACCAATTTTCTGTATAACACTTTACAGTTTCCAAGAACTCTCCCATATTCTGAGTATTGCACCTGGTTGCTGCCCCACTAATGTTCCACTATTTAAGTTACAATATTTAACATAAGAGCTGGGGAATAAAATTAAAATATGAACATAAAAGAAAGTAAAACAATTTTTCTCAAAGGAAATTAGATAGTCAAATAACTCCAAAAAAAAAAAAAAAGTCTATAAATAGGAACTAAAACTTCAGCTACGAACTGAAGTCCCCTGTGGTTGGAACAGTTCACCATCTGAGTCACTGAGGGAACAGCATCTGCAAATGCAAAACAAAGCACAAAAATGTTTGCTTTAATCATATGAATCTATCTAACCACCGGCTTGTACTTTTGAAATATGTTTTTATTTATTTCAGGAAGAGGGAGAGAGAGATAGAAACATCCATTAGAGAGAAATATCAACCTAGCTGCCCCCTGCACGCCCCCTACCGGTGATCAAGCCCACAAGCAATGGGGGCATGTGCCTGAATCCAGAACCTTGACCTCCAGGTGCATGGGACCAGAGGACTCTCAACCAACTGTTTCTACTCACCCCCACATTTACTGAAATGAAATCAACCATAGCTCACTCCTTCCCCTAGAAAATCCCCTATCTAGATCAATACTAAAAAACGGGGGCGGGGGAAAATTAATACTAATTTACATCCAAATCAAATATCGTAGTTTTGTAGCAGGTGTACTAGTATACAGCATATCATTTACAGGATTTTCGAAAATCTTTCACAAGCCCAGATGGAAAAGTTTAAGGGTTTTCCACATTTCTCATTACAAGCCAGGTTTGAAACATGGTGATTCAAAGCATAATGTTTCAAAACTGTCCTAAGAATGTCACTTCCTTTTAACCAATTTATGTCGATACGGTAAAGAACTTCACATGGGCACCATATTTGGTTGATGGGAACACAAAGCCAGGTTTCCCCAGTCTGATAGTCGGAAGACCACTACACCATCTATTAAACCATCTCAGTAAGCAAGCCGGGAAAGGCCATTTTGTGTCCAGTGACCTATGCTCAGCCCCACGGATTGTGATGAACCTCTGAGGTCCCTTTTTGACTCTATATCTGATCTCCAGGGAGCCAGTGCTCACCTCTTTCAGGATAAGGTCTAAAGAGCACATTTTACCAACAAAGGAAGATAGTAAATACTTCAAAGTAGTTTTAAGAAGAAAGAAAAATGAAACATTGGGGATGAGGCGCTTTAAACCTTTAATATTTTTGTTCTACATAGCCTATAAATGCCCTGTATAATTTGTGACGCCTATAAAACGTAGTATAAAAAATAATTTCAAATTGTAAGGAAAACCACATGAATTTAATACGGCCAAAGAAGAGAACATAAAATGTATACACCAAAGGACTACCCTCTGGCTTCCAGTGCTTTACACACACACACACACACACACACACACACACACACACACACACACACACACGGCTTTTCATACACTATCTGGCCACATCAAATCCTACAGTTTTGCATCAATATAACCCTAATGGCTTCTTTAGTTTGTATTCGCCACACAACTGTGGCAGCTCCTTGTTCTGAAAGCCTGCCTAACCCAGTGCCGGGGTCCAAGAAGAGGGACATGGAACCCACTGCCCTCGGGCTCCCGGCTCCTGCCTCGAGGGCACCCGGAGACGGTGGTGCGGAGGCTGGAACTCACCGTCGTCCACCGGACGGGGCTCGCCCTGCCCTCGAGGAGGGCGGCAGCGCGGGGAGCCGGCGTCCCGGGCGCAGCGCGCAGGGCGCAGGGCAGCGAGGCCCTGGGAGCCTCCGGCCTTCGCCAGCCGGGCGAGGAGCTCCCCGCGGCCTCGCTAGACCCGCACCCACGTGTGCGGGACCGGAAGCGCCCGCCGGCCGCCTTCCGCCTCCCCCCACCGGGCGCCAGGTGGGCCGGGGCCATCCCCGGGCGCCCGGCTCTCCACCCTCCGGCCCTTCGCTTCGCTCCCCCTTCGTCTCCTCCACCGGAGGCGGGAGCAGGCCGAGAGGGGAGCCAGACCCGTCGGCCTGGCGCGCGCCCACCCCGCCGGCCCAGTGCGGGGAGCGAAGTCGGGGCCGGGGCCGGCCCTGCGCGCTCGGCCGGGGCTGGGGCCGGGCCAGGTCGCTGGGACCAGGGCACCCGAGGGCCGGGCCGACTGCCCCCTTGTCCCCCGCGGCCTCCTCACCCCCTACTCATTCCTGGAATCGATCATGGCCGCTGATTTTTCACAATTGCAGCTGTCTAGTTCATCAGAGAATAATTAAATCAGAGCGGCCGGGCCTGCCGTAGCGTCAGAAACGAGGGGTCTCTCCCTTCCAGTTGCCATCAAATCGGGGGCCTAGTTGGGAGCCAGGAGGGCGGACGGGGACCGGCCTCGTCCTGGGTCCTAGTTGGGGGGGGCGGGTCGCGGGGCGGGAGGCGAGCGGGGCGCCGCTCCGGGTGCGGGAGAGAAGCGGAATCAGGAGGGGCGCGGGCGTGGGGCGGCCTGCGGGAGGAGGTCGAGGGGGCACGGGCGCGCCGACGGGCGCGGCTGCCAGGCCAGCCGTCCCCCCGCCTGTCCGGTCGGTCCTGACGGCAGGTCGGTCCTGACGGCAGGTCCGCCCCGGCCCCTCCGCGCCCCGCGGGGCTGCGGTTTCGGTTTGAGGCGGACACTGACTTTGCGCGGGGAGAGGAAGCCCACCCTCGGGAGGCGATCTGCCGCTAAGGAAGATGGAGAGGAGCCGAGAGAAGCGCCTAGAAACGGCATTGATTTAGACATCAATCCTGGCGGCTCCCTCCGCCTCCGCCGCCCGCCGCCCGGGCCGCGGGGCCGCGCAGCCCCCTCCCCGACAGGCGGCGCGGCGCGGGCCGGGAGAGCGGGCCGGGGGCGGGCGGAGGGCTCGGCGGAAGCGGGAGAGCGCGGCCCGCCCGGGAGCCGCCCGCAGCCGCCCGCGCCCGCGGCCTCGACGCCAACAGGTCTCCCTCCCGAGACGGGAGCGCGGCGGGCACGGCTCTCGCAGCCCCGGGGCGGGCGCCCCGACACCCCGCACCCCGGCACCGGGTTCTTGGGAAGCAGACAGACCGCCTGTGCCCGGCGGCCCGGGGCTGATTCCAGGGCCCTCGGGGGCCGCGTCCCGCAGTGACCCAGAGGCCGCCTCCGAACCTGCGGTCCGGCAGAGCTGCTTTTTGTTACACGTTTGGAAACAAAAAATTAAAAATCCCCGAAAGTAACATTGAAGCGATTTTCCAAAGATAAAATGCTCCTTCAGTCATCTGAGTGTGTCCTTTTGATCGTGTTATTTCGTAAGATCAGCTCCGACTCCCTTGGTTATGTCATGTTTGGGAGCTCAGGCCAAGGAATCTAAAAATATATATTGAATTTTTTTTTTTTAAGAAATGGTCTGATTCCCATAAACATTTTAAATCCTCGGTTTTCTTCGTTTCAAATATAAATATTATATTTTGAAATCGGAAATAATACTTCTCAAGTTTAAAATCTGGCCAACTCTTTTTTAAAAAATATACTGTATACTTTTTAAAAATTCTATGGTAGCTACACAATTGAAATTATACAAAAAGACTTTTAAAATCTACCATTTTCATAGAGAGGGGAAGTCCTGGATGTTTGTATCAATACCTAAACACTATTGAATACGCAATCACAAATAGTTATGTCCAGAGCAAATAAATCAGTGATCATTTTTAAGAAGGTCATAAATAAAAGGCGATGCCCGTGCTTAGGGTCTCGGAGCAACTTGAAAACAGCTCCACTTTCAGTTAAATTTGTCCTTTTTTCTGCAACTTTTGCCTTCCCTTTGAAAGGACGACAAAAAGATTTCACGCACAACTTGACCTGAACAAAAGGACCTCACGCCGGTTCATCTTTCGTGGGAGAGGAAAACTTTATTCCCAGCACACTCGAGCTGTGTTTTCCGAAATCCACGGTCAAAAGAAAGTGGATGGCCGAGCCACAGAGGCTACAGGGGCGGGAACTGGACGTCCTGGGAAAGGAACGGGAAGCCCATTCAGAGCAAAGCCCTCCTCGCTCTTCGGCTACCAAGTAGCTTTGTTCCAGTGCCACGTTATTTTCGAGAAAAAGTCCTTCTTGTGAGAACTGTGCTGGTGGCTTCCGCCCCCACCCAGAAGACGCCCTCTGATCTTCGCAGGTTCGAATCCTCACATTCCCCTTTGCTTCTTTGAATTTGATTTTCCCCGAAAGAGTGACATTATGTTTCTCACCGCTTCCACAGTGATAGCAGCCAGGAAAACAGAACCGAAATGGGGAAGGGGGCAGATAAGGTTCTGTGATGGGCCCCGAATTCCGGCCGCAGTCCCAAAACCCAGCCCCCACGATAGTGACCTCCTGCGGGGATCAGAGGCCCCAACACCCACTCCTGCCCAAACTCCTCCCGCGAGGGGGCCAGGAACGCCAGAGAGGGCAGGGATGCGTGCATGCATGCGTGTGTGCGTGTGCGCGTGTGCATGTCCCTGAGGACACAAAACTCCAACAGTTCCCTATCTATAGGAGTGGAGGGGGGTGGTGTTGATCAAGGTGGGTGACCTAGTCCCTGGCTTTTTTCAAAACTAGGCAGGTGGACGCGCCAGCAGAGTATCTCTGCAGTGCTCCGTGTTCTGGATGCCTCTCCGGACTCCAGCCCCTGAAGCAGGTGTCAACGCTCTTTGGGGTGGGGGTCTTCTCCTCTCTCCCCCAAGACTGACCATTCCACACCCGTGGGCTACTGAGGCTGTGATAGGGCTTGCCCCCAGCCCAGCCACCCCTGCTGCCCCACTCCCCACTTTTGAATCTAGGCACTGGGCTTGGGGCTCTAAAGGGAAGGCTCTCCTGTACCTTCATTTTTCCCCAACAGGCCAGCTGAGGGTGAAAAGAACACTAACCAACTCCAACTCTCCCCCCACCCCGGTGCAAAGTCTTCTTTGTCCGCCAAAAAGTTAAGGGCGGTCAGTCCCTTGCCAGCTCTGCCAACTAACCTGGCTTTTTCGATTTTTAACAACATTCACATGGAGGAAGGACTACTTCCGTCTCACCACCTGGACAACTTAAAAAAAAAAAAAAAAAACTTTCCTAGATTCAACCGAAATCTAAATGTGTCAATGAGTTTCTGAGCTGAGAGGCCGAAGGGAGTTCGTGGGGCTTTGGTTTTAGTTTTCCTCTCCCAGTGCTCAACTAGCCCTAGCTTTCCAGCAGAGGACAATTGAAGCTAATGGAGATATCAAACAGAGCCGAATTCCGCAGGCTCCCTTTTCACCACCAGCACCCACCGTCCATCTGCAAGTGTAATCACAGAGACCTGCGGTGTCTTCATCACCAGGGGCTCCGGAAAAGGGGGAAACAATTCTGTTCCGTTAAAAGGCACCCTCTATTATCACTTATTATTTGTGTATAGCAACATAAGAATTTCTCCCTCCTCTTGGAATTCCCCCACAATATTTAAACAGCATTTGTCGTCCGATTCGTACAAACGCTTGAGGCCTTTCTGGAAACCCATTTCCATTCAAAGGCTAGAAAATTGCTCTCCTTCCTTTAAAAAAGGTGGGGGGGGGGCGGGGAGGCGCAGCAGCGGCAGCTACAACAGACAACAACAACAAAAACTTTCTCCTGCATAATCCTGGCTCACGAAATGACAAAGAAAAGATATTGACTTACCCCTGAACGGATGATGTGTTTGATAAGGGGGGGACTTTTTTGAAGATTTCTGTTCGGGAGCTGCACAGACAGCTGCAATTCATGGGCGATGCTGATTGCCAGAAACGCTATAGATTGGCATGGGGTCTGCAGCTCACAGATCCTGATCAATACCCCTACACTCACACGCCAGATGGTTTGGGGAAGGACAAAAATAAAATAGTCCAAATCAACCCACCATTATGTCTTTTTGTCGTGCTCAGATAAACCTAGTTGTAGCACAAATGTGCTCTGCTCAACACAAAACCTTCTCCAGCATTTTGAACATGTGGGTGGGAATCAGCAGCCCTCCTCTTTCCGGGATTTGGGTTGCGGTTACTGTTGTTTGGTGAAAACAAAGCTGTTGGGCCCCTTATCCAGACTGGGTTTACTTGTGGGCTGTTTATTTTTGTGTGTGTGAATAATTTATAGGGTCTCTGTTTTAATTGAATGTCCACTGCTTTCTCCCTCTTAGAGCCTAAAAACAATTTAATGTGAAAACACATATGAAAATAAAAAATTCCAGTAAAAATGTCCAGTCTTTTTCTGCAATTGCTAGCTCAAGTTCAGATTTTTTTTTCCCCTTTACAGTACAATAGGTTTTACATTTGTCTTCAAAGCTGCATTTTATGTAAAGGCTTCTTTTGACCCATTTAAGTGTTTGATCTTAAAGAAAATCAGACCTGTGGATGTGGCACACCAAGAAATGGATGTCCTGCCCCTGATAAAATGGCTAGTGCAACTGTTTGTTCAGATTCTACTAGTCACGAACTAGCTCTCCTGCTACCACATTTCTGTATAGTCTATTTGCGAATCAAATGCCAAGGGGAAGGGGGGAAAGGCATGTAACTTCAAATTAAAAGAAAAAAGTCTGAGTCGAAGAACTTGCGAAGCCTAGTGTTTATGTCCTAAACAAGGGGCAGTTAGAAAGCTTTTTTATTTTCTTAAAGAACAATAGAAAAAGAAACATCAAAGATATGTTAAAACATATTTGGAAACCTTATTAGTACTGATGTTCTTAAAATTATCTTCAAGTAGAAAATAAATATTCCTCCTTTTTTTAGAAAGAAAGGGAAAAGGGCACGCAAACCTAATTCAGTAGAAAATTAGGAGGTTGACTAAACATACCCATTAATTTTCCTTTTAAGTGGGTTTTGGTTTGAAATATAAAACCTCAAACCACCATTAGAAAAACAACGTGAAAAATCTGCTTTAATCTACCCCAATGAAATTATACACAAAGAAGCCAATACTATTTCATGATTTCCCTGAGATCGCCAATATTGATCGAGCGAAGGGGGAGCTACGGTGGGAGAGAGGGAGGAGAAAGGGAGGAGGGAGGGAGGGAGCTAGGCAGCGAGAATATGCAACTCACCTTTCAACTCCCCAGTACTTGACTGCTCCCAGGCACACCGAAATGCAATTCCTAGGATATTTATCTTGATAGCCTGGTAAATGAGTTTTATCATTTTGAAAAATTATTGAAATGGCAATTGTATATTTAGTTTTCTGTATAGAGGCACTGCCTATCAATGCCCAAGCCTGGGGTCACTGGTCTTTGAGGCTGAAGCCAGGGCAGTGGAGGCTGCTTCAGCCAGGGCATGCCAGACAGACTCCTTCCCCCACCTTGCACTCTTATTGCCTTTTGTTCAATTCAGTGTATTTTTCAAATAATAACTGTTTCAAATTATTCCAAGTGTCCAGCTGCCCTACATAAGGTGGGGTGTGGGGAGAGAGACAGTAGGAGAGGGTGAGAGGGAGAGAAAAGGCAGAGAAACAGAAAACTGAATTATTTCACCCGTCTAGTTTTGTGACATTACAGAGGTGAGCGTCCAGAAAAATGTGTCTACAGTCCACTTTCCTACCCAGGCTTTGATATTACAGAAAAGCAGCTATTTGAAATAATAATTGGTAAGGTATTGTCCGGAGCTCAATAGTAGACCTGTGAGTAACATCACTGTACGTTTCATGTGACAGGATGGTGTGGGATGGGGTGGACTTGGGAGGCTCTGTAGCTAGAAGAGAGGAGAGCAGCCCTAAAAGGTCAGGGAGACGAAGAACTATTTTCAACCCTTTCTCAAGCTCCTGGAAGGCACATACAGTATTCCAGACTGTGTCCTTGTTTTCCTAGCAAGTTTTCTCTAACAGCTGGAAGTGGTTGGAGGGGGCTGTCTTAAGGAGACCCCCTGCTCTTCTTTTTGACAGCTGATCAAAAGAAAATAGGTCACGCTTCTCAAACTTATGTCCACCCTGTCCTTAATTACTGTCTCTTTAAACAAAGGCAACATCTGCGCAACCTCAGCTAGCTTGAATCTTCAGGAGGCAAACAGAGCCGCGACCTGCTTTGGAAGAATCGGCTACTTTTAAGGCTTTCAGTGTCCGGTGGCTCTGTCTTCAACCACCTCTCTCCATGCCCCCACCCAGGTTGCAGAAACCTCCACCTTCTCTCGACCCCACTCGGGTGTTACTGAATAACGGAAATTCTAGGTCAAAGAAGGTGTACTTTTTAAAGCCTCGGCTTGAGAGCGTTCTAGAACTTGCCGGGGTTCTTCTGGTCTTTTCAGAAACAAGGTTTGGATATGCCAATGTCTGTCAAGGCTTCATGGCATCTACCACAGCCCTAATCCGGGGTGTTCCTCTCCCGGGATTCGAGAGAAGTGTGTGTGCGCGCGCGTGTGTGTGTTTGGTTGGGGAAAGATCCACGGGTGTCGTCCCAGACAGTTTACATACTCCCTGCCCCTGGAGAAGTTTGCTCACTTTAGGCAGCGGCAGCAATCTTGCCGCAACACCCACCCCCACCCTCTCCCACCCCCACACCACCACCGCCAATTCTTAAAATTAACAAGTTTCTAATGAGACAAGCATTTGGTCACATTGAAACCGAAGCTCTTGGAGTTCTAGCTTTGTTTTGCAATCTAGCAGGGCCCTTCTGAAGCCTCATAACAGGGAGATTTATGGGCTCGCCAGATAATTAAATGATATTATTGTGTTAACTTTGCATGCACGACCACGGGCCGAGCCGCCTGTGGGCTTGCTGCGTCCGCCTGCCGCAGCTCTCAGGCGGCGAGGGCGCAGGAGTTCCTCTCGGGCGGTAGACGGAGCACTCCCCAGTCTCGGGAATTTGCCCTGCATTAGAATACCTCGGCGCCTGAATTTTAAAATGCTAAAAACTACTGGCTCTCAGTTAGGGACGCTTGGGAAGTGGCTTGCTGAGACCTGTGTTTGTTTTTACACCAGCAAGTAGCGGAGTCCTTTCCTCCCAGCTTTCGAGCCTCGAAAAAAAGCTCTGGGGTGAAGCGAAGGGAACTAAAGCAAGGCCCTTTTCCCCCAGATCGCAGCTGTTGGTGGGGGGGTAGGGGGGGAGACACAGCGCGACATCTTTAACATCATTTCTGTCCCCCGCTCGCACTCTTGCCTCTCTCTTCCTCTTCTACCCCTTCTTCCCCTCCCTCCCTCTCTTTGACGTTTGATTCCAGTGGCAGAGGAGAAAAAAAGACAGAGCCGTCAGCCAAACCTGAAACGCGCAGCCCCGCCTCCTCCTAAGCCATTGGTAGATGTGCGCAGGAGGCCCGCCCCCCAGGCCAGCCGTGGCCTCGGAGTGGCTGTCGGCGGCGCTCATCGGGCGCTGCCCCGCCCCGGGTCCGGGAGGGTAGGTTGGCTGCCCCGGCCAGCGGCAGAGCCCTTCTGGACAGCTCCCGCTCACCCAAACAGAAGCCGTCCGCACCGGAGCGGGCTGGGACATGGCTAGGCTGCGCGCCGGCCCGAGCGGCGGGGCTCGGTGATCCCTCCCTCCCTCCCCGCCCCCTCTCCTCTCCCGCACGCACGCCCGGTCCGCCCCCACCCCGCCCCCACCCCGGGCGCGCCCGCCCGCAGCCCGGGGCGCACACCGCACGCACGCTCCCCCTCCACACACTCACGCAGTCTCGTGCCCTCCCCTGCTCCCGCGGCGGAGCTCAGCCACGCGCGCCTTGCCAGCCCGCCGGCCGCCCCCGCCGCCCCCGTGCCCCGATGGACTGAATGAAGGCTGCCTACACCGCCTATCGATGCCTCACCAAAGAACTAGAAGGCTGCGCCATGAACCCGGAGCTGACAATGGAAAGTCTGGGCACTTTACACGGGCCGGCCGGCGGCGGCAGCGGCGGGGGCGGAGGCGGGGGCGGCGGGGGCGGCGGCGGGGGCCCGGGCCATGAGCAGGAGCTGCTGGCCAGCCCCAGTCCCCACCACGCGGGCCGCGGCGCTGCCGGCTCACTGCGGGGCCCGCCGCCGCCGCCAACGGCTCACCAGGAGCTGGGCACGGCGGCAGCGGCAGCGGCGGCGGCGTCGCGCTCGGCCATGGTCACTAGCATGGCCTCGATCCTGGACGGCGGCGACTACCGGCCCGAGCTCTCTATCCCGCTCCATCACGCCATGAGCATGTCCTGCGACTCGTCCCCACCCGGGATGGGCATGAGCAACACCTACACCACGTTGACGCCGCTCCAGCCGCTGCCGCCCATCTCCACCGTGTCGGACAAGTTCCACCACCCGCACCCTCACCACCACCACCCCCACCACCATCACCACCACCACCACCACCAGCGCCTGTCGGGCAACGTCAGCGGCAGCTTCACCCTCATGCGCGATGAACGCGGGCTCCCGGCCATGAACAACCTCTACAGCCCCTACAAGGAGATGCCGGGCATGAGCCAGAGCCTGTCCCCGCTGGGCGCCACGCCGTTGGGCAACGGGCTGGGTGGCCTCCACAACGCGCAGCAGAGCCTGCCCAACTACGGGCCGCCGGGCCACGACAAAATGCTCAGCCCCAACTTCGACGCGCACCACACTGCCATGCTGACCCGCGGTGAGCAGCACCTGTCCCGGGGCCTGGGCACCCCGCCCGCGGCCATGATGTCGCACCTCAATGGCCTGCACCACCCGGGTCACGCTCAGTCCCACGGGCCAGTGCTGGCACCCAGCCGCGAACGTCCACCCTCGTCCTCGTCGGGCTCGCAGGTGGCCACATCTGGCCAGCTGGAGGAGATCAACACCAAAGAGGTGGCCCAGCGCATCACCGCCGAGCTGAAGCGCTACAGCATTCCGCAGGCGATCTTCGCGCAGAGGGTGCTGTGCCGGTCTCAGGGGACTCTCTCCGACCTGCTCCGGAACCCAAAGCCGTGGAGTAAACTCAAATCTGGCAGGGAGACCTTCCGCAGGATGTGGAAGTGGCTGCAGGAGCCGGAGTTCCAGCGCATGTCCGCCTTACGCCTGGCAGGTAAGCCCAGAGAGTCGCCTGGAGCCACGCTGCTGGAGAGAGGACTCCGGGGTGCTTGTGGCCGCGAGTCAGCGCACCTAGCACTTCTCCGGGTTCTCTCCTGCTATCCCCTACACACTTCCTGTTCTTGACTTTATTCCTTGTTCCATTTCCTCTTTCTCTCTTCCTCCTCTTCTTTCTGCTCTCCCTTCTTCTGTTTTTCTTCTTTTCCTTCCTCCTTGTCTACGGCTTTGATCTACCGACTCCCCCCTACACACACACGTTTCATTTGCCTCCCTCAATGTGTCAATTTTGCCCTCTCTTTCCGAGGCGAGATGGAGTGCCCGGTATCCACTAGGAGCCCTCTTTTTCCAGGACTCACGGAGACCAGGTATTGCCCTTGTTCAAAACCCTGTGCACTTGAACACTTGCTTAAACAATACATTTCAGTTTTCCAAACTGCCTAGTCGGTTGAGGGGCTTTGCTCTTCAGAAGAGAAAGAGATCTCTCTGTTCTCCTACCCACCATATCAGGCAAACTTCTTTGATTATTGGCAGGAGTCACACACAGCCTTGCCCGCACCGGGAACTGGTGGCTCGCTAGACTGTAATAGCGCTTCCTGAGCCCTTCGTCGGCCTTGGCGTTGGCGCAGGGACTTTCTGACCCAAAGAACCGACTTGGGCTAGCTCCCATGTCACTGTCCACAGCAAGGGGAGGGTGCAAGGATGAGGGTCTGGACTGCCACATTAACCTCTGGGAGAATGGGGGAAGAGAAACTAAGAATGGAGAGCGCTGTGCCTCACTTGCCAGCCACCCTTGCCCCGCTCCTAGCGTTTGCTGAGATTTGCCGAGGTTTGGCTGGGCTTGGAGAGAGGTTAGGCGCTCTCAGGGAAGAGGTGCTGAGAAATTAAGATGCAGGTTAGTTAATGCATCTTGGCCGCGGGCTACAGGCTCCGCCTTTGCATTAAGCGGACGCTGATTGTGCGCGTCGCGCCGCGGCGGGGAGGGCTGACGACCAGCGGGAGGGGACGAGTTGATGCGCTGGTTACATTGTTCTGGAGCTGCCTTGGCTCTTTGTGCCTCCTCTAGCGGCGGAGCCGCGAGGTACAGCCCTCTATTGTTCTAGGAGCACAGACACCTCCTGCGTGGGCGGCGGGAGCTGTAGAGAAAAACGCAGCAGTGGCTGCGCCTTTCTTGCAGTTGCGCGCTTTTGTGCGCACAGAGCCAGCGAGGTGCGCGTGGCAATTGCGCTGTCCTTGGGATCCAGCCGCGGGCCCATAGGGTCTAAGTGTCCAGGCACCCCACTGGGGCGGACGCACTATACCATACTGCAAACAGGGTTGGACAGCTTCTCTTGGACTGGAGCTATCTCTCGGGGCCCGCGGGCCATCAGGGGGATAAGTCGTAGTGGCAGTGATTTCCATAGGCGGGGACAGTGGGACTCACGCGGTTCTGTGGGTTCTGAGCCGGCCGCACAGAACGCGCTTCCGGAGGGGAAAGCACGGCTTCCTCTCCCACGCCCCGGGCTTTCCTCGCACCGCCCAGCCTGGCTTATGGGGTGCACTCTACCGACACCGGACTGGCCTGGGGGACATGACAGACAGCATTTTCACCCAGGCTTGGGGAGGAGGCGTTTCCGATCTGACCACCTCAGCCTTTTCCTCCAGCGGCCCCACGGCGATGATCTGAGAAGATAAAAAGAAAACTAGCTTTGCCCGAAAGAGCTTTGTCAAATCGGGGAACTCCAAGTACTTTTGCTTGCATTTAGATGTCTACTTTATCTCTCTCCTTTAGCTTAGTCTTCATCCTCTCCTACATTTTTCTCTGATTTGCTCTTGGTTCCTAGCAAAGATTAAGCAGTGAATAGATAGTAGGGGTGAGATATAAATTGGAGGTTTACTGACAATTCCCAACAGTGTGGTTCCCTTTTGTCTTAGTCCCCCCCTTCCATCCCCCCCCCCCCCAGTCTCTCTCCTGAGAGCTCTAGCACGTGCTAGCTTCCTGGACATAGGCGGCCAGAAGGAACTTGGCAGCTGGTCTTTGGGGGGTACAGTTAAAGGCTGGATGACAGCTATTCCATTCCAGCCCATCTCAGAGCGCTGTCGCCCCCTCACGCCTGTGGAGCAAAGGACAGAGCTAAAAAAAAAAAAAAAAAAAAAAAAAAAGGCAAAGCACTGCCTTCCTGCCTATGTATCTGAAGGTGGTGTGTCAAGTCATGTTTTACTGTTAGCTCTCCGAAATGACCCCAAGCTTGCTGAGTTGAAAGATAAGTGTGGCAATTCTGCGGGAACCCCACCATTGAGAGTCCCAGGATGACTCCTCTGGGGCTTTTAGGAGGAGCCCCGAAACTGCCTCTGAAACTGCCTCCTTCAGAGAGTGGGAAATTCCTCCTGAATGCTTCAAGCATTCAAATTTGGTGTGTCTGTTTTATTACCCCAAGTTGAAAAGGGACAAGAGCTTTAGCCTTTTTATCTGGTCATTCTATCAGCAACTACAAGCATGTTGAGTGGTCATTATTACATAGAAGGCTTTTCAGTTTGGGGTCAGTAGATCAGTCTCTTCAGACACTGACACAGAAGCTGGGTTGGTAAGTAGGCATTATATACTCGGGAGCACGAGGGGACTGGAGCCAATGGAGAAGAAAAGCTGAGGCCTTCTCCGCCGGGAATATCGATCGATCGATTGGAATCGTCCCACACTGCTGGGCTCGGGTTCCAGGGGTTAAACAATCCTAGTAGCTCCACGGGGCTGCTGGGCCTTGTCTCCCAGCCCTGTGCCTAGAAGTGGTGCCACCCCCCCCCTCCCGCTCCAGACAAGGCTCGCTCTATCATCTATCATCTATCTATCATCTATCTATCTATCTATCTATCATCTATCCATCTATCTATCTCCTTTTAGTTTCCTTTTCTCTTCTCATTTTGGGCCCCTCTGGGTCTTGCCAGAGGCCCAAGCAGACAGGGTTTTGAGGGACTTAAGAATTAAGATGTCTGATTTGGACCATCGCCTGCAAACCTCACCCTTAGGTGAAGCACCCCGTCACAACAGAAGCAGGTCCTTCTCCCCCTGCCCACCTCCTGGGTGTATACACAGCTCAAGGTAGCATTTCAAGAGGGAAGGGAGGAGACGTCAGGAAACTCAGATTGCCCCAGCACTAGGCTTCAGAGAAATGGACTCCAAGTGCGAGATTTCGTTTGGAAAGGGTGGCAGAGGCAGCAACTGCCCCCAGCTGGGCCTCTTCAGGGGTTTCCCAAGGCTGGCGCCTGCAGGGCAGTTTTTATGAATTGTGGCAGAGGCTGGGAGGACACACTCCCACGGGTTCAAGAACCGACACTCTCCAGCTTGCCCAAGAAAAGCCTAAAGCAGCGGTTCTCAACCTGTGGGTCGCGGCCCCTTTGGGGGTCGAACGACCCTTTCACAGGGGTCGCCTAAGACCATCGGAAAACACATATATAATTACATATTGTTTCTGTGATTAATCACTATGCTTTAATTATGTTCAATTTGTAACAATGAAATTGGGGGTCACCACAACATGAGGAACTGTATTAAAGGGTCTCGGCATTAGGAAGGTTGAGAACCACTGCTCTAAACCAAGGCACAAACAGGAACAAAGAGGGAGAGAACCCAGACAAGCGCCTCGGTGCCCCACCGAGGAAAAACTGAGGCCCTCAGTGCGGGGAGTGTTGCCTCCAATGCCCAGAAGACAAAGCAGAGCCCTCAGCCCTTGACAACATACCCTGTAACCTGGGCTCCCGGGTGGTCTGCTAGGAATCTGCCTCCAGTCCCAGCGGTGGACAGATTCCGGCCCTCTTCGGGCAGCAACTCCCAGTGGCCAATCCGGAGCCAACTCTGTTCCCGCAGCAGAGGGCTCTTAACCAACCCGACCAGATGCCGCCCGCCCCGGGCCACCTGAGGCTGCAGCAGTGAGCATGGCAGGGCACCAACTGTGTGCTCGTCTGCTTCTGAGCGGGGCAGGGAGGAGGGTGTCTTAGGGTACACCTCCGACAGGCACCTCCTAAATCAAGGAGAAGGAGTGGGAACTTCATTCGCAGACCTCTCCCCACTCCACACCCCCCACCCCAAGGCTCCCTGCCCACCTCAGCCCCCCTCTCGCTACATTTAGTTCGGGATCGTGGCCAAGAGGCCACAGGCAACCAGGTCGGTAGGGAACACGCGATATTTTCGCCTGCTGGATGGTGGGATTAATAATTAAAAAGCTCTCGCTACTGTCCTTGCTTGGTCAAGCCCCGAGTGCGGGTAGAACACCTCCCCAACACGCATTAGGGTGGACGGGAGCGGCCCCAGGAGGCGGGATGTGAGGAGGGTAGCGAAGCCGCGCGAGAGACGCAGTCCAGGCCAGCCGGCGCCCTGGACGAGAGAGGCTGCGCATTTATTTTTATTCCAGGCTTTCCACTGTGTGGTTATGTCACTTTCTCAAACAAATGTGTATATGGAGGGAGATCGATGCTGATAATGTTTAGAAGATTAAAAGAGCATTAATGCTGGCAACAATAACGTAAACGTGTGGACCCAGATTTCATTGATCTGGAACCTGATCCGGCGCGTTTCCAGTAAGCCCGACCGTTCCCAGCAGAGCGCTCGGCCGGCTCACGCGCTCCCTGCCGTGCTGCTGCCCCAGCTCCAGGCGGGTTCTCCGGTCTGCCTGCAGCTCCTCCCCGGAGCGGCCCCAGATACCCGAGGCTTTCTCTGGTCGCAGGACTGCCCGCCTACTTCCCCAGCTCCCCTGTGCGCACACACCGCTTCCTGCGTTTTCTGCGCTCCCGCTCCCGCCACTGGCTCTGCAGGTGGCTGTGTGTGGGCTTTGCACCAGGCCCTCCCAGCTTCCTTGTCCTGGAGGAGTCCTCTCCTCCTCCCCCAGGCCCCTACATCTGCTCCAGCAGGGTCCCGGGCAACTTCGTTCCTCCATTGGAACCATCTAGGAAATTCAGTCACCCCCTTCATATGCGGAAATAACCAAACCCTACTTTGCAAACGTCTCTAAAGCTGCCTGCTAACTCCGC